AAAAAAAAAAAAGACAAAAGGAGAAATTAAAGATTGGGAGAAAAGATTTGCAAATCACACAGCTGACACAGGACTCATGTCCGGTATATACAAAGAACTCTCCAAAGCTGAAAATGCTGCATCCGATTAGAAAACGGGCAAAAGGACCTGCATGGACACTTCCCTAAAAAGGTATACAGTTGGCAAATAAATAAGCACATGAAAAGACGTCACCAGCCATTACAGAGACGCAAATTTAGACCACGATGACGTCTCCTCACGCACCCAGCAGAAGAGCTACAATGAAAACCAGTGGCGGCAGCCAATGGTGGTGAAGATGTGGAGAAGCCTGATCATTCACACACTGCCGGCGGGAATGGAAAATGGTATGCGCGCTCTGGAAAACAGTTTGGCAGCTCCTTTTAAACTAAAAATGGGCTTACCACACAGCAAGCGATTGTATTCCCTGCCCCGCCCCCCCCAACACTTCTCTACGTGTGCTGCAGAACAGTCAGCACACACATTCACTGAAGTAACACTCTTCTCCATTTGCTGAGCAAGTAGCACTCTAGAAGCATCTCTCCCGCCCCCCCAAGCCTTGCTGAGGTATAACTGACAAATATAACTCATATAAAGTGTACAACGTGATGATTTGATATACGTACGCACTGTGAAATGATTGCCACGATCAAGCTAATTAGCACATCTCTCACCTCACGTAGTTGCCTTTTTTGGGGGTGAGAACGCCCAAGATCTACTCTCTTAGTGGATTTCAAGTGCACAATGCAGAATTATTAACTATAGGCACCGTGCCTGGACGTACATTAGATCCGCTGAACGTACTCACCTTACAACCAAAACCTGGTACCCCCTGACCAAAATATCCCTATTTCCCCCACCCCAGCCAGCCACCAATCTACCCTCTCTTTTCTATGAGTTTGGCACTTTTTTTTTAAAGCCCAATTGACCTACTCTCTCTCTCTTTATTCTTTTTTAATTTTACTTATTTTTTCTTAGGGAGACAGAGACAGAGACAGAGAGAGAGAGAGAGAGCATGAGCGGGGGAGAGAGGCAGAAGGAGAGACAATCTCAACTTGCTCTATGCTCAGTGCACAGCCTGACCCTGGGATCATGACCTGAGCCGAAATCGAGTTGGATGTTTAACTGACTGAGCTACTCTGGCGTCCTAAGTTTGACTTTCTTTTAAATTTTTTTTTTTAATGTTTATTTATTTTTGAGACAGAGAGAGACAGAGCATAAACAGGGGAGGGTCAGAGAGAGAGGGAGACACAGAATCCGAAACAGGCTCCAGGCTCTGAGCAGTCAGCACAGAGCCCGACGCGGGGCTCGAACTCACGGACAGTGAGATCGTGACCTGAGCCGAAGTTGGATGCTTAACCGACTGAGCCACCCAGGCGCCCCCTAAGTTTGACTTTTTTGATTCCGCATATAAGTGATACCATACAGTATTTGTCTTTTTCTGTCTGATTTATTTCACTTAGTGTAAAAACCCCCAGGTTCAGCCATGTGGTCACAAATGGCAGGACTTCCTCTCTTTATGGCTACATAATATTCCATTGTGTATATGCACTGTGTTTCTTTTATCCATTCATCTGTCAACAGATACTTAGATTGTTTCCATATCTTGGCAAGCAATTGTATTCCTGGGCATTTATCCCAGGAAAATAAAAATTTGTTTTCATGCGTGTTCAGAGTATGAATGTTTGTAACAGCCCAAGCCCAGAAACAACCCAAATATTCTTTGATGGGAGAATGGTTGGTTAAACAAACTACGGAATACAGCTCAGCTATGAGGAACTGACTATCGATACAACAGCTTGAATGAACCTCATGGAAATTATGCTGGGTGAAAAAGAATCTCAAAAGGATATATACTATATGATTCCTTTTATAGAACGTTCATAAAATAGCAGTAAACAGAGACACAGAACAGATTAATGGTTGCCAAATAGTGGAGGGGTGGGTGTGGCTATAAGGGGGTAGCAGGAGGGAGCTTTGTGGTGATGGTACAGCTGAGTGTGTACATTGTAGTGGTGGTTATGCAATACCACACACGTGACAAAACTGCACAGAGCCACACAACCTCACCACACACACATGCACACGTATGGCTGGCGAATTCTGAATAAACTCCATGGGTTGTACGAACGTCAATGACTTGATTTGATACTATATGGCGGAGGCTGGGTGAAGGGTTCGTGGAGCTCCCTGTGCATTTCTTTGCAACTTCCTGTGAATCTATACTTATTTCAAAAAGTTCAAAAATAACAATAAAGGGGAGGCACCTCAAGACTCTGAAAAACAATGCTCCCTGGACTTACCAGTAACATCATTCCTACCATCTCCGTTCTTGCCCAATCACTTTGTACCAACTGCCATTTCTAGCCTCTAGCCTCGGCTACTGCTGCTGCCCAGGCGTCCCCATGGTTCCCCCACACCAGATTCCCCTTCATTCCTACTGTATTCCACACCATTGTGCTTACTCACATCTGTGGCCTTTGCTCTGCCTAGAATGACTTTCCCCCTCTTCTCTGGGGCAAACTCCTAGTAATCTCTCAGAGCCCTGTTCAAATGTCACCTCCTCCAGGCAGCCAGCCTTGACCTCTGGGACTGGGCTGTGCTCCCTCTTCCAAACTTGAGACTCTCAGAGTGTTTGTCAGGGTGCACATTGTTTCTAGGGCACGCTCTCCCCCACGGCCAGCAGCAGTGACCACAGGAACCCACAGATAAGTGAGGAGCTCAAATAGTGCTCTATGCACCTGGCACACAGCAGGTGTGAGACCCTCTGCTGAATGAAAGCTCAATGGTGGTGGCTAGAAAACAGAAGAGGAAGTATGTTTTACCCAATCTTACGGCAGAGGCTTAGAATCCAACAATGGTTTAGTTCAGTGGCTCTCAGAGTGTGTTCCCTGGACCGGCAGCATCGATCCTGTATGTTCTACGCTCCAGACCTAGCACGTTGGAGCCTCAGGGGTGAGGCCGAGGAAATGTTTGTTTCAAGGCCTCTTTCTGGGTGATCCTGAGGCATGATGAAGATCGAGACCTATTGGCTGAGTGGACAGATCCCTGCTCTTGCGGTGGGGGGTCTTATCTAAACAAACTCACGCACTCACCCCACCCAAGGATTTACCACGTGCCAGTCCCTGTGCTGTGTGACGGTCACGTACAGACAAACCGGGAAGGTCTTAGATCTTGAAGGTATGTGTGCACACACACGTTCTCTTAACTGCGCTAACAGAATGGAGGGAGAATGCTCAAGCCCACGGTCAGGAAACACACAGGGAACTGAGGGCAGAGTGGCAGCACCTAGTGCTGGGGGAGGTTCAGGGAAGGCTTCCCAGAGGAGGAGCATCAGTGTTCAAGCTGGCAGGATGGGGGAGTGTGGGGTGAAGAGTGTGAAGAATCTGTAGGAGAGGGAGGAACACGGAGGAGGGCTCTGAAATTCAGACAGCCTACTCAGGAAAGTGCAAGTGGCCAAGGAGGGTGATATGTGGCACTGCACAACGCTGGAGAGGTGGGTGGGGCCTGGTGGCCACGGGGAGGAGCTAAGGCTATGTCCTGAGGGCCGTGGGACACGTGGGAGGGTTTGAAGCAGGGGACAGGCATGGTCTGATATGGAAAGATCTCGTGGCTGCTGAGTGGAGGGTGGACCACAGGAGGTGGGACGGAGGGCTGGGGGCTCAGGGAGGTGGCCAGGGTGGGGCACTGGGGAGAGGAGGAGGGTGTGGGGGGCCGAGCTGCTCAGGAGGCTGAATGGATGGACCGCAGTAGTGGGGAGGAAGAAGGGAGACACCCAGGATGAAGCCCATGGCTCTGGCCTGAGGACACAGGAATATGGCGGCTGCCCCTGAGATGGAGATCCTGGAGGAAGGAGGGCACAGGGCACCAGGGCTGAGGGCAGCTGGACAGCCTGGGCATGAGGGAACCATGGAGGAGTTGAGAGGATCCCTCAGGCTGTCAGACTGGAGACGGGTCCAAGGGGACAGGACTGAAGTCTAAAAGGCCAGGAAAACTGGGTAATGCTGGTGGACTGGTCCTGGAGAGGAGGAGCTGGAGAGGTCGTTGAATGGCCAAGCTAAAAGGCAGACGGTCTTGCTTAAACAAGGGATACACGTGTTAAGAAAATGGCAGCTGCAATTCTGCTACAAGGAAAGCCAACAGTGAGTCTTGCCCAGGACAGCTTGGCCCAAAATCTTAATGGACATAGCCAATCCTCCTGGAGGTCCTCCGATGACCTTCAGGGATCCAGAAACCCCAGAAAATGGCAAATGAACTTGTAGAGTATGTGCATTTCCTGGGGAAGAAGGATCCCCAGCTTTCATCAGATTCCTTAATTTGGAAAGAGTGAAGAGACTCTGACCTTTCTGGAGATGGCTTGTATCTCGCGTAGGTGGCCGAGCCGGGGGTGGAGAAGCTCCCAGAAGGCTGTCGGTAGGGAGGGACTTTGTCGGCCCCTGCTGGTGATGCTGTGTAAGGGGTTTCTGGGAAGCTGACAGGCCTGGAACAAAAACAGGAGGAAGGAGGTAGGGGTGAGTGAGAATGCTCCTGCTCTCAGAGGAGGGAAGCTAGACCTTTCCCTCAGGTCCAACCACGTCCCATCGGCTTCATCTGCCACCCTCCCATCAGGATGGAGGGACGGCCGCTGAACCATCCCTGAGAGTGGTGGGAGACCAGGATACCCCCGCCTTCCCTCTCCCACTACAGATGCAGTGGTCAGCTTCCACAGCCCTGACCGAGGCCTGACAGGCTGCAGAAGCAAGATGCCCCTCTGCAAGCTGGATTCCTTCACTTCTTGGAAAATTTTCTTTATTTTTAAATATACACTACATTCGAAATAATTTATCTGCAAGGTATCCACCATCATAATAAAACCCAACTCCTAAAGCTACCACCCAACCCAAGAACTAGAATGGCACCAACACAGGCCCGCTTTCCACTTCCCTGCCTCCCCCAGGAAGCAATCACTACCCTGAATTTCGTGCTTCTCAGTCCCTTGATCTTTTAAAAAATATATAGTTTTAATCATACATGGTCTGATGGATATCCAGCCTCCAACATGGAGCTCCCCAGCACCGGGCCCTCACACAAGAGGCTCGTAATGAAAATTTAAGGGAAGGAAGGGAGGGAGGCAGAAGGAGGAGAAGGAGAGAAAGACTGAGGGGAGAAGGAGACTGGAAAAAAGGGGTAGGAGAGAGAAAAGGGCAAAGCACAGAGGAGCTAGACGGGAGGGAGACAGGGTGGCACCCCTCTTTAGCCCTTACCTCTTGCTGTGCAGGGGCTGGGGCTCCCGGAAGGGGACCATGGGGGTCTGCTTCGGGGGCCGGCTCAGGGATTGGGCATGGCCGGGGGTGCTGGGGCTGGCCCACTTGGAGGCAGGTAGAGAGTTGTGGGAGGCGGGCCCGCTCCACTGCCAGGGAGCGTTGCTGCGGTAGGGGGGCCGGCCCCCGGGGGTCATGCTCTCTGGCTCCGTCTTCGGCTCCGAGGTATTCATGTCATAGGTCTCCAGCCAGCCCCTGGGAAGAAAAACACGGTTACTCCGAAGGGCCCCAGCCCACCAGCACGCTTGCCTGTTGCCCAGGAGAGGCTGCCGTCTCGTCACACTGGGCTGGGTTTCCTGGCCAAATCTGAAGGCCTGTTTTAAAGGCCGAGGAGATACCGTTTAAATTGATCTGAAACTTAGCAGCTCGGAGAAGTCAGGACAGGGCCCAACACCCAGGCTCTGACCGCTTGGCCCTCTCTTCCTCACCTCCTCTCCTCGCTCTCTCTTTGCCTTCCTTCCTCACCCTTCTCCCTCACCCAGGCCTCAAGTGGGCCAGTGTCCTCCATGGAAGGCTCAGCACCCACCCCCTTCCCCCACAGCAGTCCTCGGGGCCAGAAAGGCGGATGCCCTCAGAATCAAAGGATAGTATCTGCCTTGTTCCAAAGAAGCTCAAAGGCAGCTGGAAGAGGAGCAGGTGACCTACTTTGCAGGGTGATTGAAAAAAAAAAGCCACGAAATCCAGAACCTTGAAATAGATGCAGAACGGCCTGTGACTCCCCCCAGACCAGGCTGGCATGCAAACCGCGGTGCTCCTGGCTCGAGGCGGGGAGATCCGCAGGCTGGGCTGGCATTCTCCACCGCTGCTGCAGTGCGGCACAGGAGGGGGCTCTGAGCCCAAGGAGGGGGCTGCGCTCGCGAAATCCACCTCCCAACAGCTGTGGGAGCTGAGCCTGGAGGAGCCCGGAAGCTCTCGTGCCCTCATCGAGCTGATCCTCTGTGGCTCTCCTGAGTCCTCTAGAGGGAACTTTCAGGGCTGGCAAAAGATCTGGTGGATTTGGTGGCTGGGGGCTCAGGACGTGGCTGCTAGGGAGTCTTCAAAAGGTGACCCGAGCAGGTGCTCTGGCACCTGGGCCCGGCACGCCGTGTTCTTTAGGAACATTAGCTCCTGTAGGATGGCAGACACCAATGCCTCACCAGGCATCACGTGAGGAATGACAGCAATACAAATGTTCAGCAGAACCTGTAGAAATGCCAGGCCCGGGTGGAGGCGGATGAGGGTACCATCACGGTGCTGCGGCGCACACAGCTGCTCTGGCCGGCCCAGCTTTCACACCTCTTCGCCTGACAGCACGTCTGCGTGCACTTCTCAGCTCCAGGTATGAGAATATCACCTGGGCCTGGCCAATCAGAAACTCCTCTCCCTCTGGACACCACGACTGGCACAGGACTGTCATGTGCCTTACGCGGAGACAGCATCAACTCTGGAATGGTTTTTGGAACTCCTGGGGGAAAGATCTAGTTCACTGGGGCTGCTGCACTGGGGAGTCCTAAGCTGAAGGTGTGAAGAAGGGTGCGTCATCTTTGTTCCCACCAAGTGGGAGATGGCCTGAGAAGGACAGTGACAGAAAAGGAGATAGGTGATGAAGATTCCTGGTGAGGGGTTCCGAGTCCCTGCGTCTGGCCCCATCTAGATCTTGCTCTGTCTCCTGGTTTGTCGGGTACAGAAGCCAGTAAAGGCTTTGTTTTGCTTCACAAAGTTTGAGTTGGTTCTGTTGTTGGGAACCAGAATCCTGATCACTGCACCGCACTTTAGAGAGAAGTTAAGTAACCTGTTCGAGGTCACACTGCCAGTAAGAGGTGGAAATTGGATTTAAATACAGTTAAGTTGATTCCAAAGGCCACAACTTTAACGCCGATGCACATTGGCCCACTGAAGAGTGGTGTGGGAACCAATGAGTGGATTTCTTGGGTCCGTGACTTCTCTCCCAGTTACTGACAGCCTGGCCTTTGGCGAGGAGTCCTTGGGCATGATCTCAGAGAGGGAAACATTATCCAATAATCTTGAAGGCAGCACAGGGCGATGGGGAGCCAGGGATTCTGGGACAGATGGCCAGTTCAGATCCCAGCCCTGCCACTTACAGCTTGCGTGGCCTTGGGCGAACGATTTCCTTCTCAGAACCTCAGTTTCCTCATCTGTAAGATGGTGGTGGCTGCAAGCATTCTAGAACATTAGGAGAAAGTCTGGCATGTGCCACATGCCTAATAAACAGGATTTGATGCTGTTGCCTGCTCCAGCCGATTCTGTGGCCAGTCTGTCTGCTGTTCCCACAGGCTCAGAGGTGAGTGTCCTTTCCATCTTCTCAAGTCCAACCACACCTCCCTGGGGGCTCTGGAACAAATTGTTCCCCACCGGGCTGAGAACTACCAGCACCTAAACCACCCTGAGAACTCAGCAGAGGAATGCAGATACCTGGGTCTCATCTCTGCTCACCTGAATCAGAATCTTCCTTGAGGTGGGGCCCAGGGATTTGCATTTTACCAAGTTGCCAAAGAGGATTTTGACACATGGAAAAGTTTGAGAAACCCACTTCGTTGATTTGGTTTTTGAATTGTATTTTTTAAGGTTATTTATTTATTTTGAGAGAGAGAGAGAGAGAGAGAGAGCGCGCACGCTTGTGCAGGCAGAGGAGGGGCAGAAGGGGCAGAGAGAGAAGCCCAAGCAGGCTCTGTGTTGTCAATGTGAAGCCTGACCTGGGGCTCGATCTCATGAACTGTGAGATCGTGACCTAAGCTGAAACCAAGAGTTGGACGCTCAACTGACTGAGCCACCCAGGCGCCCCTACTTATTGAACTGTTTTTAAAGATTAAAGTGAGATAAAATGCCATTTCCTGTCCCTTATCCCTGTTCCCCAGTTTCACCCACCAGAAGCAACCACAGCTTCCAGTTTCTTGTCTGTTCTTTCGGAAATGTTCTACGCAGGTATATCTATGCAGAGAGATCCTATGCAAACAGTATTTAAAATGGAAATCGGGGCGCCTGGGTGGCTTGGTCGGTTGAGCATCCGACTTCAGCTCAGGTCATGATCTCACGGTCCGTGAGTTCGAGCCCCGTGTCGGGCTCTGTGCTGACAGCTCGGAGCCCGGAGCCTGTTTCAGATTCTGTGTCTCCCTCTCTCTCTGACCCTCCCCTGCTCATGCTCTGTCTCTCTCTGTTTCAAAAATAAATAAACATTAAAAATTTTTTTAAATAAATAAATAAAATAGAAATAAAAAGAATAGCACACTTAACTCCAAATATCATCTTGCTCCCCCCTCTCTCCTTGCCCCCCAATTACTATTTCTTACCAGGCCCTCTCAGCACAAACAAATTCACTTTATTTCCTTTAAACAATCAAATACTATTGCATCACACGGATGCCCTAGGATTTACTTAGCTGGTCCTCTATGGTTAGATATTTAGGTTGCTTCTAGTCTTGTGCTTGACCAATAGTGTTGCACTAAACACCGTGTTCCAACCTCAGCCACATGCAGGAGGCATCTGAGAGAGGACCGCCCCCAGGCTCACAGACCTCTGTCCTCACTGCCTCCTTGTCCTCAATTCCCAACAGCCTAGTTGCTGGAGGCCACGGGGACTCCTTTCTTACCTCTCTTACTTACTTACTTGTGTGGTTTCAATTTTCCTTCTCAGGGAGGAGTTTCTAACCCCCCTGACTGGAGCTCCTGAGTCTAACTAAAGGGGATAAAAGCATCCCAGATTGCCTTCCCCATCAGGAAGTGACAGAGAAAAGTGAGATGAGAACATCCCTCCTGAGCCTGTGCAAGCGCCCAAGATCAGCATGACCATCTCATTAGGCTGTGGGATGTTCTCACAGCTACCCGGCCCGGCTCAGCTGTGGCCAGTGGTGCTGGGATCACTCAAGAACTCGTCCTGTGGCCTGGGAGTGTGTGGATGACCCACTCTACCCTATTCAGTGTCTGAAGAGCATGGGGTCCAGATGCACACCATGCTGAGCCTGGCTGGTGGCAGGGACAGCACCTCTGCCCATCCCTGTGCGTCTCCCCTCAGAGCTTATCTCGCCATTTGAGCTAGAAGAGGCCAGGGCTGCAGCAAGAGGCTGGAGAGACCCCTGAGTTGGGATTATCAGCTCTGCAAATGAGGTCAGCCAGACACCTCTGCATTTGAAGAACAACAAAAGCCACACAAGTCTCAGCCCACACCTGCCCTTGCAAACAGGAGATTCTGTTTCTGTGGCTGCCTTATAAAGGCGGCAGGCTGACAGCTCTCCTAATGAGGGCAGGGAGCGGGGCTCATCTGTCTGGTCATGCCCTCCCTGGCCTGGTCTCCCCAAAGCCTCCCCAAAGCTGGAGAAGGAACTTGCAGACTTTCACTTTTGCTTCAGTTGGCCCCTACCTGCAGGTCCAGGGAGTCTGTGTGGCCTCTCGCGCACCTCCAGTTTTGGAGTCGTCCGGCAGGTGGGCTGGCTTACCATGTGCACACGTGTGGGCATGGGTGTGGGTGCAAAACAAGGCGGTGGGGGGGGGGTAGTCTGCTGGGGAGCTCGCCTGCGGACTTACTTTGGCTCGACTTGCCCCTGCAGAGCCCGGTGCGGGTGTGGCCGGGCCAAGGCGCCACAAGAGGGCTGAGAGAAGGGGACGCCTGGGGTTAGACTGGAGTCCCAAGGCCGGGAGACTGGGGAGGTGGGAGAGGGGAGGCCAAGCCCTTGGCTGAAGGATTTCGCCGTGCCTAGAACTGCCCCCTACCAAGGTCAGAGCAAGCGAGAAGGGGCGGATGGAGCCACCACCCCTGGGCATGCGCACAGCGTTCTGAGGAGGTGGAACACGGTGGGGCCGGGACACCTGGATTGAGGTTTGTCGGCCACTTAGTAGCTGTACAACCCTGCGCAAGTGACGGGTCCACTCTGGGACTCAGCTTGCTCGTCTGTAAAGTGAGGATGACGCCAGCCCTGTGAGGTCACATGTATGTAGCCCTCAGGGTCCCCTCATCTCACCTCCCCTTTGGCTCACTCTGCTCCTGACCCCCTTTCTGGTCTGTCAACAAGCCAAGGGCCTTTGTCCTAATGGCCACTCCCCCCCGCAAGGCCTTTCTTCTGGCTCCATCTCACCTTCAGGCCTTCCCTGACCACCCTGTCCAAAGTCAGACAGCGCTCTTTACTTCTTCACACCCAGTATCTCAGAGCTGGTGTCTCTAGAGCACCTCCTACAGGCCAAGGGCTGTTCTCTGTGCTTTACAAAGCTTTTCTCCAACTTCCCAACTGCCTTTGGGGAAAGGACCTATTACTGTCCTCATTTTACAAATGAAGAAACCGAGGCACAGGGTAAGAGGCCACTAGCCCAGGGCCACAGTTACTACGGGGCAGAGCTAAGATTCAAACCTAGGTAATCTCACCGTAGAGCCTGCCTTCCCCACTATGCTCAACTGCCTCCCCCTCTGCTATGTGAAATCATCCTATTTGCTTACTTGTTTATTGTCTGCCTCCCCTGATCCATTCGGTAGCTCTATGAGGGCCAAGGCCTTGACTGTCTCCTGTGCAACTGTGTTTCCAGCACTTGGAAGGTAGTGATTTTCTCTCTCTCTCTTTCTGTCTCCGGTCACCTCTGGAGGTTGCTAGGGTACCAACTCATTATTCTGAAAGCTGCATTTACCTTGCCTTTTCCATATAATAAATTACACCTCAGAGTAACCAAATAGTTACGGAAGGAACATTCTTTTTAGAAAAATTTCAGTCAATAAATGAAGGAGGAATGATGAAATTGAGAATACCACTTGTTACCATGTGATGCATGACAAAATAACTGATCTAGGCCATCATGTCGAAGAGCTGCTGAGGGGGACAATGCATGATGACGGGTCAGCTGCTACCATCTGAACCCTCCGACTGCCCTTAGGGTCACTCACGGAGGGCCAACCAGACACGTGGTGCCTCTTGACAGACACACACCTAGGAAGTGGTGTTACCAAAAGAAATTTAACCAGAATTGGATCAAGCTTCTACATCAAACTCCAGTTTACAGGAAATTCATGTGCTAGAGAAACAGGGTAAAGGACATCAGAGGGATGCAAGCAGCTAAATCCAGGAAGTGAGAAAGTCTGAAGGACAAGTAACCTGGCTTCTTCCCAAACTAAACTGCAAGGGGAATAGAAAAGAGGAAGGAGAAGCTTATAGGTTAAGAGAGCCTAAAGACACCCATCAACCACATACAACAGGAGGAACCTGATTAACAAAACAACTCTTCTAAAAACATTTTTCTTTTTTTAATTTTAGGGGGAGAGTGGCAGAGAGGGAGAGAGAGTATCTTTTTTTTTTTTTAAAACATTTTTAAA